TGCCCCAGTCTTCACTACTTGACTTATGTTTTTGGACTCTTTTTATACTCTGAAAAACAACCTCCAAAAGTCTGAAACTGTATCGTTTTTTGAGACGTACCCTCTCAAACCTGAAACTTTGGGTTGAATCAAAACTTAAGGTTGCGTGAGTTTTGTTGTTTAAGAGCGGCTGCTGCCAATTTTCTTCGCAAAAGCTTACGATTCTCGAAATTCTGAAAGTTGGAATTGTTGGCAGTGCTTAAGAATTTTTTCAGCGCAAGGCAGGGTGGGGAATGACAATGCAGGGCGAGTAACGAAAGGGTAGGGCAGCGCAAGGCAGAGTAGGGAGCGAAAGGCATGTCAGGACGAGAGGCGTAGGGCATGTCGAGGAGCGGCAGGGTAGTCTCTTTACACTTTACCCCCACTGTCTGCATTACTTGACTGATGTTTTTATATTTTTTCCAGTTCCTCAAAAACTACCCTCGTTTTCTTGACGTACCCTCTCAAACCTGAAACTTTAAGCTGAATCAAAATAATAGCTTGCGTGATTTTTTTTTTGTGAATGAGCGGCTGCGTCCATTTAAAAAAAATTATGACGTACCCTCTCAAACCTGAAACTTTGAGCTGAATCAAAATTATAGCTTGCGTGATTTTTTTGTGCATGAGCGGCTGCGGCCAATTTTTTCTCAAATCTTATGCTTCTCGGAGACGTCAAAGTTTTAATTGGTTGAAAGTTTTTTTTTCTGAAAACGGACTATTTGTCGATAACTTTTGTCGGAGGGGCATGGTAGTCTCTGCACACTTAACACCACTGTGCACTTTATTTGACTCATGTTTTTAGATTCATTCCGTTTTCTCAAAAATCACCTTCCTTCGAAAATCTGGAATTCGACCGTTTTTTGAGATCTACCCGCTCAAACCTGAAAGTTCGGGCTGAATCAAAACTATAGGTTGGTTGTTTGAATTTTTTCGTGACCGAGCGGCTGCTGCCCTTTTTTTTAACAAAAGATAATGGTTCTCAGAAAGGTCAAATTTGGTATTTTTCGACCATTTTTTGTATTGTATGAGATTTGACTTTATCTTGTCAGACGTACCCTCTCAAATCTGAAACTTTGGGATGAATCAAAACTCTAGGTTGCGTGAGTTTTGTTGTATAAGAGCGGCTGCTGCCAATTTTCTTCGCAAAAGCTTACGATTCTCGAAATTCTGAAAGTTGGGATTGTTGGCAGTGCCTAAGAATTTTTTCAGCGCAAGGAGGGCTGGCAGCCGCAATGCAGGGCGTGGAGCGGAAGGGTAGGGCAGCATAATGCACACTAGAGAGCGAAAGTCATGGTAAAACGAGGAGCGTAGGTCATGTCGAGGAGGGGCAGGGTAGTCTCTTCACATTTCACACCACTGCCTGCATTAATTGACCCATGTCTTTGAATTCATTCCGTTTTCTCAAAAGCTACCCGCCCGCTGTATCGTATATTGCAGTGCTTGAGAAACTTTTCAGCTGGAGGTGGGGCGAGGAGAGGAAGGGTATGGCAGCGCAAAGCACAATCGGGAGGTAAAGGCAGGGCAGGACGAGGAGCATTGGGCATGTTGAGGAGGGGCAGGGTAGTCTCTTTACTTTTTGCCCCAGTCTTCACTACTTGACTTATGTTTTTGGACTCTTTTTATACTCTGAAAAACAACCTCCAAAAGTCTGAAACTGTATCGTTTTTTGAGACGTACCCTCTCAAACCTGAAACTTTGAGCTGAATCAAATTTATAGCTTGCGTGATTTTTTTTTGTGCATGAGCGGCTGCGGCCATTTTCTCAAAAGCTTACAATTCTCGGAAATGTCAAAGTTTTGATTGAATGACAGTTTTTGTCGATAATTTTTCTGCCATTTTTGTATCGTTTAATGCAGTGCTTAAGAAACTTTTCAGCGAAAGTCAGGGCAATACGAGGAAGAGTAGGGCGGCGCAAGGAAGGCCAGGGAGCAAAAGGCAGGGCAAGATGAGCGTTGGGCATATCGAGGAGGGGCAGGGTTGTCTCTTCGCACATAACACCACTGTGTACTTCATTTGAACCATACTTTTGGATTCTTTTCATTTTCTCGAAAACTATGCTCAAAAATCCGAGATTTGACTTTATTTTGTCAGACGCACCCTCTCAAACCTGAAACTTTGTGCTGAATCAAAACTTTAGGTTGTGTGATTTTTTTTGTGCACGAGCGGCTGCTGCCAATTTCTTCGCAAAAGCTTATGATTATCGAAAATGTGAAATTTGGGATTGTTTTTATTGTATATTGCAGTGCTTAAGAATTTTTTCAGCGCAAGGCAGGGCGAGCAACGAAAGGGTAGGGCTGCGCAAGGCAGACTAGGGAGCGAAAGTCATGCTAGGACAAGAAGCGTAGGGCATGTCGAGGAGCGGCAGGGTAGTCTTTTTCACTTTACCCCACTGTCTTCATTTTTTGACTCATGTTTTTAGATTCTTTCAGTTTTCTCAAAAACTACCCTCGAAAATCTGAGATTTTATCGTTTTTCGAGACGTGCCCTCTCAAACCTGAAACTCTAGGCTGAATCAAAATTACAGCTTGCGTGATTTTTTTTGTGCATGAGCGGCTGCGTCCATTAAAAAAATAATGATTCTGGGAAATGTGAAAGTTTTGATTGCATGACAGTTTTTTTTTTCTTCTGAAAACTGACTTTTTGTCGATAACTTTTCTGCCATTTTTTGTATCGTATATTGCAGTTCTTAAGAAATTTTTCATCGGAAGCCAGGGCGAGGAGAGGAAGGGTAGGGCGGCGCAAGGCAGGCTAGGGAGCAAAGGGCAGGGCAGGACAAGCAAAGAATATGTCGAGGAGGGGCAGGGCAGTCTCTTCACTCAACACCACTGTGTACATTATTTGATCCATGTTTTTGGATTCTTTTCGTTTTCGTTTGAATCAGCCCGAGAGCAAACTTCGGGCTGATTTAAAACTATAGCTTCAGTGATTTTTTTTGTGCACGAGCGACTGATACTTTTTTTCACAAAAGCTTATGATTCTCGGAAATGTCAAATTTGGGATTTGTTGTATATCGCAGTGCTTAAGAAACATTTCAGGGTAAGGCAGGGCGGGTAGCGGCAATTCAGGGCGAGGAGCGGAAGAGTAGAGCAGCGCAAGGTAGGCCAGGGAGCAAAAGGCAGGGTAGGAAGAGCGTAGGGCATGCCGGGCAGGGTAATTTCTTTAATTTTACCTCACTGTCTACACTATTTGACCCATGTTTTTGGACTCTTTTCGTTTTCCCAAAAACTACTCTCGAAAATCTGAGATTAAGTTTTTGATGGAGCGGGTGTTGGCAAGCTCCATACATAAGTTTTAACGGCAAGGCGAGAGCAATTGTATTGCAATCGGAATCTAGACATTTTCCCGTAATAATCTTTTCTTACAAGAAATTTAGCTTGCTGATTCATGAATTTTAGCAAAATTCATCATTAAGACCACCAATTGCTTTTGCACCCTCAGGCCAGGGGTTCGAACCTCGACAGGACGCGGTTATTTTAAGCTTGTATAGAAAGGAAAAATTAATCCGGTAAAAACTGAATTGTCGTTGTTCCGTTTTCTTCAAGTATTATGATAGTTCCATTTGCGAAGCAAGACCTTTGAAAATTCAAATATCTTGCTCTGCATGTTTAACTAATTCCTCTGTTTGATAATACATGGTATTAAGAATTGAATGGATTGGGTTTTTTAGACGGAATTGGAATTTTTTTATGGAAAAATTTCATTTTTTTTTCGCGGAAACTATTCAAACTGGTTTTCCAAAAAGAGGAGTATCAATGGAAAAGGTCATCAACTATAGGTTACGTGAATTTTTTGCTTGAGCGGCTGCGGCCAATTTTCTTCAAAAAAATTATGATTCTCGGAAATGTTAAATTTTTGATCTGTTGACCGTTTTTTTGGAAACTTTTTTTTCTCGATAACTATCCTGGCAAATCTGATATCAAGGTTTTAATCAACACAATAGATTGTTGAAAGGCTAGCTTCATAATTGACTACGCACGATTTAAAAAGAATTTTTTGAAACGTTGATTGTTTCTTGGAATCTTCTTGGAAGCAGGTTTCTCGAAAACTGCCCTGCCAAAGAACCGGTTGTTAAAACTTTTTTCTTCTTTTTACAGAAGCGGCCGCTCCTTAATTTCTTCTAATAAAAATGTTTTGTCCATAAAATTCCCTTATCTCAAAATTTTTCACTCTTCTGTTGTTTTAGCAGAGAAACCACTAAGGTTTGGGCAGAGTCTAGTTTTTGAAATTTCAAGTTAAAATTCAAAAAGTATAACAGGTTCCAAAAATTTCTCCAGCGTTAGCTGGGCCCTTTTTATTTTTTATCGAAACATACGAAAATGTTGGTTCACTAAATTTTTTTCAACATCTTTTTATTGTTTGTGTGTAGCAAGTGATGCAAAGCTGAAGCTCCGCTTCGCCTCTGTCTAATTATGTTAAATGTTAGTTTGAGCAAAAAACCATAACACCCAGAAGAAGCCAATCTATAGTTTTTTTTCGAGAGATGAGATCTGAGTGTCGACCTTTTTTAAATTTAAGTAGGCCAGGTTGATTTTCCGAGCTCTTCCAAAAGACTACAAAAAATAATTGTGTATATGGCGCCTGTATAAAAGTTGTAGAGAATGTCGATAAAAAGGGACGCTTTCTCATTACAGCTCCCAACCTAGTAACAAAGTTATAAAGCCCCAAACGCAAGAGCAGTTTTTGTAATTTTTGGGGGTATGTTTATTTACTGGGGCTATAATGGGAGAAAGCGAAAAAATGGATATCGTTAAGTTGTGCCAAACAGTCACCTCTGGTCGTGGATCTCAGAAGCTTATTTGGAATTTTCGCAATGAAACTCTCATTTTAAAAACCATTTTTTATCGACCGTCCAAGTTCTTGTTTCCGCAAGCTCATAAGTTTTGGGTGACAACGTTGTGAATTTTCCAGGTTGGTATCAAATGAGTTTAATTGGCTTAACATAATAAAAATGCTGAATTTCAATTTTGTTGGTGTCTTATTTAGGCGTACATTTGCAAGGCAGAATCTCTTATAGCTCTGGAAAGATTAGTTGATGCCCTTGTTGTATACAGTGATGCACTCGAGAACTACCAGAGCAGAATTGGTAAAAGGAATGCGACTTACAGCGTGTCTTCTGAGAATCCAGTTGATGATGCTGATTTTTCTCTCGTGTTGCAAAAATTAGTCACATGCTGCTGCGATGACCTTTCGCCAATTAAAGGTGACTGACTACGGTTAATTGATTGAATTCTTAAAGAAAGTTTTAACATTTAATGTTTACGCTTGCGATTGGCAAATTCTGTCAAATCTGAATGACTTTTTCTGTCAATTCTGTCAAATCCTAACATCTATCTATTACCCCATGTTTAAGCTATACCATATGTCTCATGTTTAAGCTGCCAGAAACGAACGAAGATTTGCACGTATAAGCTGTATCGTATATTGCAGTGCTGAAAAAAACATTTCACCGCAAGGTAGGGCAGCCCGTGGCGATGAGGGGCAAGGCCTGGGTAGGGCAGCGCAAGGCAGGACAGGGAGAAGAGGGGGCGAGGAAGGGCAAGGCAGGGCAGGGAGTGCTCGGTAGGGCAGGGCAGGGAGTGCTCGGTAGGGCAGGGCAGGGAGTGCTCGGTAGGGCAGGACGAGAAGGGGCATGGTAGTGTATGGCAGCGCAAGGTAGGACATTGTGAAAAGTCGCAAGTCAGAGTAGGGCAGCGCAGGGCGAGGATGGGGAGGGTAGGGTATGGCAGCTTAAAGCAAAGCTGGGCAGCGCAGGCCGAGAAGGAGCAGGGTAGGGTATGACAGCTTAAAGCAAGGCTAGGCAGAGCAACGTCAGCTGGGGCATAGCGATAAGGGGCAAGGCATGCTAGAGTAGTGCAGGATGGCGCAATGTAGGGCGACGGAAGGCAATTTAGCGCAATGCAAGACAGCGAAATGCAAGGCATAGCAAAGAGGTGCAGGAAAGTGGAATGCAAAACAATGTAATAGTTTCTGTTGGCTGGGCAAGGCAGGACAGTGCAACTCAAGGCAGATTGGGGTCCATCCAGCGAATTATTCATGCATCCTGTTAACCATCTAATCAGTCAACCATTCATCCAGCAATCTACCCATCCATCGATCAAGCCCTCCATCCATCAAACTACTGCTCCATATAACCATCGATTTGTCCAGCCATCTAAACAACCATCCAATCACCGGTTCTTCGATTCATTCATCAAGCCGTCCATCATGTATTCAACCAAAAAAGCCATCCGTCAAGCCATTCATTAATCTGTTTATCCAGTGTATTTCAATCCGACCAGCCTTCTTCAAGCATCTTTCCATCCCTCCGGCAATCTATCCTACAAGTCAGACATGCAGTCAGTCTGCCATTTATCCACCCAGCCACTCATATTTTACCACACATATTCATTCATACAACCAGCAAGCCATACAGCTACTTATCCATCTAGCCATCCATCGTCTATCCCTCCATTATTTATCCAGCCACCCATCTGTTCAGTTATCTATCTACCCATCCATCTTTTTGTCTATCAATACATTCATCCTTCTAGCCGGCGATCCAACCATCCATCCGGCCATCAAACCATCATCCATTCATCAGTTCTTTCAACCGTCAATTCATCCAGCCGTTCATCCATCCATACAGCAATCGGTCAAATTATACATTCCACCATTAGCCGTTCTTACAACCAGCCAGTCATTCATCCAGGTATCTGTCGTCCATCCGGCCATCTATTTAGCTATACATCATCCATCCATCCTACCAGCAATCAATATAGCCATCCATCGCCATCAATCCAATCAGCCTGCCTTCCATCCATCCATCTATACCCAAGTAATCCGTCTTTTCAGCCAGCCATGAATCCATTAATACTTCCATCGTTCGTCGAACAATCCAACCATCCATACATCACGGCGTTATCTTGTACCCATGCAACCAGCGTTTCATCAAGCCATGCATCCATCTAGCCACCAACCTTCCATCCATGCAACCAGCCATCCATTTATCTATCCAGCCGTGCATCTGTTCAGATATCCATCGATCCGACCGGCCAATTAATCCGTCCCGCCAGCAACCCATCGGTCCATCCATCTACCCATCCATGGATCCAACAATCATTTCAGTCAAATATCCAGCCATCTTTCCGTCAAGTCATCCATCCATTGATCCATCCAATTATCCAGCCATCCGTCCATTTTTCTAGTCATGTAACTATCGATTCGCTGGATCCAACAATCAAAATGGATCCAACAATCATTTCAGTCAAATATCCAGCCATCTTTCCGTCAAGTCATCCATCCATCGATCCATCCGATTATCCAGCCATCCGTCCATTTTTCTAGTCATGTAACTATCGATTCGTCCATTCATTCAGCGTTCCATTCTTTCAGCCATCCATCTATACATCAGCTAACCTTCCTTGCTTTCCTCCAGTCATCCCTCCCTCAATCTATACATTTGTTCTAGAGTTTTTCAGGTTAAGATACATGATGTCCATTTTCAGGAGCAGCTTTTGCTGCAGAGAGACCGCTAGTAATTTCTGAATCATAGCTATTATTAAACGTACACTGTACTGACATTGAAAACGTGCGCGGCACTCTTGAACTTGAGGAACTAAACTTCAAATTAAAGACGATGCTGTAGAAATTGACAAAAACAAACAGAGCAACAATATTCCAAGAATCGAACTTAACCAAAAAAAAATTTCAACCACAAAACCGAAGGAGTACTGCGATGACAAAAGTACGCTTTAAAGTTCAATTCTTGGAATATTGTTGGTCTGTTTGTTTTTGTCACTTCCTACAGTATCTCATTTTGGTCTGGTTTGTGCAATTTTTTCTATAATTGAAAGTCAGTTTATTTGGTTAAAGTGGTTCCTTCTGATTTGACTGTGTTTGAAGTTAGTTTTCAGTCATATTATACATTGAATCCGGTAAATATCGTTGATTTTCACAAATTTAAAGTTTTGAAAACTCATTGAAACTTGATGTTTTTTATTCAGATACTTTTCCAGCGGTCTACTCTAGCCTGGCGGAGATAGGGTTGTCCACAAGGCCTGCAGTGATTCTGACAGAGATAGGGCAGGAACTTTTAACTGTAGGGTACCATGCAGCCTCTCTGTCTATTCTGCAAAATGCCCTCAAGTGTGGCACGAAGAGTCTCAAGGTCAGAGGCTGCATACTGGGTGCCTTGACTAGTGCCCACTGGACAGCAGGAAACTATGACACTGCTGTACAGTTCATGAAAGAAGATTTACAGGTGGCCACTCAATTGGGAGACTTTGCGGCACAGTCGAGATGTCTCAGTAAGTGTTTTTTTTTATTTCTGCGAATTGCAATAGATCTATTTAACGGTTTCGCTTCTTGATTTCTGTTTTTGGTTTTATAAAGCTAAATGTATTTATATAGGCTGTCTTAGAGTAGAAGTTGGCATTCAAACAAGCGCGTGGCCTCTCGCAGAAGCATATTCAGTGTTTTTGGCAAGGGGTTGTGTTAGCACTAGCGAAAGTAGTGTTTATTTTGAGCACGTTTGTATAATGCAACTCGCACAAATCAGTGTTCATTTTGGTTTTTACTCTTGCTGCATAGAATTGGAAATATAATAGCCTGTGTTCGATATGCTTTATTGGTGGCAAGTATTTACGTATTTCAAGTGCAAATCGCGGAGATGGGAAAACGTTAGATTCGTAATCCCTAGGTTGGCGAATTGATTCCAGGGGTTCGAAAGGATTCGATCACGCTCAATTTGATTTTTGTTTTGCGTTTTGACATTTGAATTGGTTTTTTTTTGGCAGATTTTTGGCTTATTGGGCATCGGCTTAAATTCTATTTAGATAAGGTCTTATTATTGGAGATTTACTAATCCATTGATGGTAGTTCTGAAAAAATGAAAATCAACCTCTGGGGCCCCTCAATAAAAAAATGCGCACCCCTTTACCTTTTCGAGTATTTTTGTTCATTTTTTGCCCGTTTCATAATGATAACATTAGTCGAAATTTTCTGTGGTTAGGGAGCAACTAGCTGTGGCTGTCACATGCTTTTGGATGCAGGTATATTTGAGCATATGACTTTTTGCGCAGCTTATTTTGCGTATGTATACATAACGTCGGCTTGGATTCCTGTTAATTTCTCGCTTATCTATTTGCTCCAACCATTGAAAATGGGAAGAGTTTTTGTCTTCAGGTGTTTTAGTTTTTTGTTTTCCTCGCAAAATCAGGTACCACAAATAAAAATCGGAATGAGTCGAAAGTTAGATCATATAGAAGCTCTTTCAGTGGTTATTCGAATCTCAAAAATTTTCCAAAAGTTTTTTCAGTGTCGAGAAAAAATGGTTTCAGAAGCCGTGAAATTTTTTTATTCAAGCCACGAAAATAAAGTTACTCGGTATAAATAGATTTTGAAGTTTTTTAGCGCCATCTTGGGTATAAAAACCATCGAAATTTTGGTTTTGTTTTTCTAGTTTTGTTTTAAAACTCTTGTCCAATTTTGCTAAAGCTATCGAATATGCCTAAGAAATAGGCATTGCTTCAGATTTTTTGACTGCACCACTCACAAAAAAACGACCTTTATTTAAAAAAAAGACACTTGTTTGTAGTTTTAAGAATTTGGTCGGAACATTCTATGCTACTTGCACAGCAGCCGGATATTCTTATGATTTTCCTGTTCAGACTCATATAAGGGTCGCGATGATTTTTTTCAGAAAAGTATTAGTATTTGTTCAGACGTAAATTTACTTTTTCTGTTAAAGTTCATTTACTTTGTTAAATGGAACGCAAACTCCGCGATGAAACTGCAAAAGTTGAAAGGTCACAAAAAAACGTGCGCGACTTCTAATTTCGAAAATGGAATTTAATTTTCAGATTCCCCACCGAAACAATAAAAATACCTATTGTTGATCCAGTTTTCTCAAATTGGGCGAATTTATCGAAAAAGTGACAATCATAAATTGTTCAAGAAATTCAAAGAGCTTCAACGGCATCTCTAATTTTTCTTTGAAATTCGAAGGTTGAAATTTTTCAAAAATTAAGGCCATTTTTGTCTGTTGGTTTTGTTGATTATTTTTTCGGTGATATTTTTTGATCAAATTCAGTTATTTTGTATCACGAGTCGGCTGAAGCTCCGCCTCGTCTCATGTCAAAAAATTGTCAATCATAAAGTATTCTTGAAATTGAGAGCTTTAACCTGATTATTTTTTCTTCATCTTCAAATTTTTCCGGTTTCATTCAGTGCATTGGCTATTTTGTAAGTTCGCATATAATTACCAACAACAAGAGAATTGGTTAATTTTGGACCATAGTTGAAACGAACAACCGAAAACATCCGCTTTCTTTGAAGACAAAATAACTAGCCTCAAGGAGAATTTTCATTGCTTTTTGGAAAACTCACCAGATTTTGCGAAATCAGTGGCGACTGATCGAAAATCTACTGAGATGCATTTTTTTCTGTGTAGGTAACCTGAGAAGTGGCCATTTGAGCGTGAACGAGTTGGCTGAGGCCCTGGAGAGCGAGAAGGAGAACTTTAAGGTGAACTACAAGTGGTACCAGTCCACTCAATCAGAAGACGCACACGAAGGAATGGCACTGTCCCTCTCGCAACAGGGAACAGTATATCGGTTATTGAACGACAATTCAGCGGCTCTCAGTTCTTTCAAGGAGAGTGCTAATATATATCATAAGATTGGAAACTTACTCGCCAAAGCGCAGCAGCTTGGAAACGCGGGTTAGTGCATTTTAAAGGATACAAAAAGTTAAAATGGCTACTGCTTCCGCCGCGTAATCTAGAGATTGCCATTAGGTTGGCCAAAAATGCCTGATCGAGGGGTAAGGAGCGGTCGCTCGCAATAAGTTGAATAGTATGTATTTTGGTACACCTAATATTAGAAATATGGTGTTGAACAATATATAGTGCCTTAGTTTCGATTGTTCTGATGATTAAGTGTCAGTGAACGAAGTCTTCCTTTGTACTATTTTGAGATATCCATTTTGATTGACTGCGGCGCAGAAATTTTGGTCAAAGCGGGGTCTTTGTAGTGCTTTGGGAGAGCTCAGAAAATGAATTGGTCGCCCTAAAAACAAGGTCGACAAAATTTTAGAACTTTTTTGAAAATACGCCCCCCTTGAGAAAATCCTAGATCCGCCCCGGGTGAAGATATTTATGTAGTTCGGGTGATTTTCATTTTTTTCGGGAAAAGGTCATTAAATTTGTTCTCGCTCAAATCTGATTTTTTTTCAAGGTTTGACTTCTAATTTCTACCCTTGCGAAAAGCATGAGTATTGCCATTGGGTACTACACTTTTTCCCGTAAACAACTTTGTTCACTGGACTCATCTCCTTAATCCTGAACTCATTCGTTTACTGAACCGTTCTATTACAACTGACATACTTTGAGCATGTTAGCCTTTTAATTAATCGTCCTATTTACACGAGCGTAGCGTAGTGTGATAGTACGATGCAACTTTTTTTACAACTTAAGTCGCAAATACTTTTGGTGGTACTTTTGAATCGGTAGGAAATTTAAGCATTATAGTCCGAGGTGCGTTGACATTTTATTAGTAAACAGCTAATGCAGTTGATGCTTTTTAAACTCATCTATTGAACCGAAAAAAGCTGTTATAATTGTTTCATACAACAGTATAGTAATTAAAATCCCATTTCAGAAATTTTATAACGCAAAATACTTCGCGAGGTTTTCGAAATGCATAATTTATACCTAAATTGGTTTAATACATCAAAATTTTTACATGCAAAAAGTTGCTTTTAGGTTATTACATGCCAAATTATTACATACAAAATTTGAGCTTTGAACCTTTTAAATCTCCTGAATCTTTCTTTGCCGCTTTCTCGCACAGTGTCGAAAGTTGCTTCTCAGGTTGGTTGTTATTTTACCAACTTGTTTTTTAATAGTCGATGAACGTAGTTCAGAATTTTATGCAGGTCACTATGTCTTCGTTTTCGTTATTTTTTCAGGAAAAGTCTTGAAAATTGTTCAGGCTCAAATTCACTTTTCGCGGTATGACTTCTGATTTCTTTTTAAGTTTATTATCTTTTTAGCGTCAGCTTAGTGTATTATTACGAACCTTCTTTGTTCTAATCTAACTCGCAAATAAATATGTTCATTAAAAGTGCTCACTTATTTGGAAATTTCACTGTAGCATTGGAAGTTGCATAGTATATGTTCTCTGCTTTATTGTGGATAGTGTTTGGCTGTTATATATTAAGCTTCCGAGACTCCTAATCTCTATGTTGAAGATTCGAATCTCAGATGTAGCCGAACTTTTTGCTAATTCGAGGCTTTTTTATACTTTTTATTGCACTCTATAGAGCTGCTTTTTTGTCGTGTTCTCGCTAGTTTGGGAAGCGAAGCTTCGCCGCTGTGCAAAGGAAGGCAAACTCCACTATCGAACAGCAAAAATTAAAGGTCAAGAAAAACGTGATTGACTTCTAGTTTCGAAAGTGGAATTTAATTTTCACATCTTTCAGCAAAATATAAAATTTACTCTTTGATCCAGTTTTCTCAAATTGGGTTAATTAAATCAAAAAGGTAAACATAAATAGTTTGAGAAGTTCAATTTGTTTTAGGGCTATATATTTGTTTTTGAACTTTGACATTTGGCTATGTTTTCAATTTCATTCTTTTTTTGTTACTTCCGTCTAATTGGTTTTGGCCAGTAGTATAGTAAAAGTGGCTAGGAAAATGACCACTTTTAACCCCCCCCCTTTTTTTCGATGTGCCGTTGTACTTACCACTTTTAACCCCCAAAGGGGTTAAAGCCACTACTTTTTCAGGCACGCATGTTTTAAGGGGGGTTAAAATTGGTAATTTTCCAGCCACTTTATGGAAACGGGAAAGGAATTAAGTTTTGGTTGGTGCATGTTTTCCCTTCTAAAGTTTGGGGGTATTGGCTTGTTTACATGTAAAATGACGTTATATGCAACCAAACTATATGGTATATAGGAAAGCCAAGATTTTGGCAGCGTAGCTTAACTGTTGGCTGCGGTGAACGATTTTCTTTCGAAAATGCATGTTTTATTGCTGAATCTCGAAGAAAGGAAAATTCGTCAAGTGCGGCGGCCGCCACCTCTATTTAGGCAAAAATTAATAATCTATTTGAACAAAATAAGAATCACTTACCCGAAAGTTGATGACGCAGTTGATGAAGAATTGTAAAAAGAAAATAAGAAATGGGGGATGTTGAGGAAGGGGACTAAAAAAAATAAAATTTGGTAAAAAAAAAAAAACCTCTTCTTTATTGGAAGAGGTATGAATAAATGGAAACGGCTGGGCTGTCCATCAGCACCAGCAGGTCAGAAGCCCTGTAGGCAATCCAACCCCCGAGGGCGACCACGTCCCTGAGTTGCTCAGAGAGGAGTTCCCACTCGGGCGACCCAGGGAGGTAAGTCCGGGGAAGGGGTTTCCCCTTGGCCCACTGGCGTGGCTTGACCCAGAGCTCCTTCACCACTAATGCCTCAGGATCGAGCCCAGCCATATATCTAACGTGGATTTCCTCCACAGGAATATTGATAAGCTCTAACCCCCCGAAAGGAATTTTAACTGTTTCCAGGTATGAAGGCATCTAAAACAAGCAAATTAACATTTTAAATCACATGAAATTGTTCATCAAATAAAAATTTTTGGAACAGTAGGTTTTGGAAGGTAATAATTGTGCTAAACTTTCTCTAAATTTTCCCCGAGTTTAAAATACGCTTATCACGAAAACACAGACAGAATAAATTGTACTTTTAGCTGCGTGTTATTTTCAACCAGTTTAGAAATTTTGAGTTTGATTTGGAAACAAAAACTGGTAAAAACATTTGATTTGTCGAATACTACTTTTGAAAATGAATAGATTTGACTTCTTGTTTGACTTTGTCACTAAGCTGATTGTAAGAAAAAATAAAGCGCAGACTGAAAATATATGTTTACTAAAATGTTAAAAATATATGAAAAAGGCTGATGGATTAATTCAATGTATATCACTGAGTTGTAGATATCAGCTGTTGGCATCTAAACGGTTACTTTTATTTCCACTGTTTTGAAATTCAGCAGGCTCAAAGAGTGTTGGAAAAAAAATGAAATTGGAAAAACGTAGAGTTACCTCAACAGACTTGGAAATCATTCATGAGATTTATTTGACTGTGAAAAAAACCTATCCGGAAAATTCTGACCGTCGGAATTACTTTCTGGCTGCATGTTCTCTGTTTTTCTTTTCCAGTGAAAACGAATTAAATTATGACGTAGCTATTAAACTTAGACCATATGGAGGTCTTATTGGCATAGACGACTCTTCCTTGGACAAATATTTAAAAGATTCAAAAATACTACGTCTGCATGCAATTTTGCATGACGCTGCAGGTTTTGTTGACGAAGTTTACAACACGGGTCCCACTTACTGCTATATGTTACCCTGGAAGTGTAACAGCAGTCTGGTTGGTCATTTGAGCGGTATTACTTTCTGTTTATTCGTCAAACTAACCAGACCAGAACTCTATCAGTTATTAGAATGTTGAGCGAACGATCAGTCGTCATAGATTTGGAAGGATTTCGCTATAAAAAAAGTAACTTTATAGTTAAAGAAATAGCCATTACGACTTCTGAATATAGTGACTCTCTTATTTTTCTACCTCCAGTCCCTTTCAACTCACTACCCAAAGCTGAACAAAAAGCGTACAACTGGTTAACACAATACTTGCACGGAATTCACTGGGAAAGCGGAGATTATTTATATTTAAACCTTAATCAGATTATTCAAAGTTTTGTTTTGAGAAATCCTAACGCTGTATTTTACGCCAAAGGAAAAGAGAAGGCTGAACTCCTTGCAAAGTACTTGGATCGAGAAGTTGTGAATCTTGATGAATTGGGTTGCCCGAGAATTGAAAACTTACATTTAAAGAATTATCCATCCTGCAATAGACATTTACAACCTAATTATAACTCTAGGAATCACTGTTCCCTGAAAAAAACGAAGGTTTTTTTTGATTGGCTGACAAATGAGCAACAACGAAAGACTAGCAAAAGCGGAGACGTACCTATCTCCAAATTTAGTGTTCTTGGCCTGGATGACACCAGAGAGTGATATCAAAGTAACTTTGACCAGAACAGAACAAATCAATTGCCGAGGTCAAGTTGTGCAGCGGAAAGGACAAATTACTCTCTCAGGAGACGAATTGACTATTTTAAGAAATTTTTTCCCAGTGATTGACCAATTCATCTATTTTCAACGACACAAGTTTAGTCAAAATGTTGGCCAACAAACGAGGAGTATGTCTTCCCAGGCTAGTCTTAGTGCCCAAACGTCAACCCGGAGTTCAAATGGATCTTCAAAGCAGTGACCTACCTGAGGAAGTTCAGAAACTAGTAAAAGAGAACTCTGTAAAGAAAGTTGTATTTCATGCAAAAACTGAATATGTGCCAGCCAATTATGTTGTGGAAATGCTGCATGACAATGACAATGACATAACTAATGACTCTAGAAGTTATACTCGATACGAGATTTTTTATTGTTCTGAAGTATAGATAATACATATTTTATGACAAGAACACATTTTTTTCATTCTCATTAAGAAACTAGTGTTATAGATAGAGAGGAGTTAGAAAGAATCAGTTAGAGAGAGAAATATAAATCGAACAACTGAATGACTGAATTAGCTATTGATGAGCCTGATGCTACTATAGTTACAGATTTTGCTTATGATCAAACAAACACTGAACAAAAATCTTGGAAGTTTTGTAATGATGTTACAGTCCCCAGATCAGAAGTAGTTTTTATGTCTCAAATGATTTTAATTTTCATTTTACTTACTTTTTGCATCTATAAACTTTCTTGGACGCAAATAAGCTGTGAAGAAACGTCAGTTTGGTTTTCAATATTGTCTGGTTTAGTTGGGTACGTGCTACCAAACCCAAGGATATGAATAAAATTATTGATACGTCGACAAGACTGTTTATGGCAGTTGTAGGACCGTCAGGATCCGGAAAAACAGAGTTGATTTTCAAGCTATTGACAGGAAGATCATTTTATCCCAAATTTGAAAGAGTGTTATTTTTTTACAAAGATATTCAACCTGTAGTTATGGACGAGTTAAACGCTCGCAGAATTCATATTGAATTTGTAAAATTTGACGGATTCGATCGTTTGAGAAACATTGAAAACATTCTGTTAGTGTTTGATGACTCATGCGAAGAAATATACAATGATAAAGAATTCGTTAAATTAGCAACAGCAGGAAGACACAGGGGCTTAGATGTTATTTATGTTAAACATAATTTATTCCAACAAAGCCGATGGTCCCGAACTATTGATTTGAACACATCTCACATCATTTTATTCAAATCACCTCGTGATATTCAGCAACTTGATCACCTCGGAAGGCAACTTAATGCACCTAAATTCTTACGTCAATCGTATGAACTGGCTACAAAGGACAGCTTTGGACATCTATTAATAGATTTAGATCCCCGAACATCAGACTGTCTCAGATACTGTTCAAACATAATACCACCTGGTCCGTCAATTTTCTATTTACCTTTAGATAAAGCAGAAGTGACACCCATCACAAATGAACGCGAAAAAATTATTTATTCTGCAACACATGGTACAGTTGAACCCAACTCAACTACGAGGCTTCATTAGAAAAAAAACATCAAATAGTCAAATCATATCAGTTGTTTGCGAATGCTTGCTCAATGTAGTCAACGGAAATGTGCCTGTCAGTATCCCAAACCTTAATAAATTCGAAACAGCATACAAAATTTTAATCAATCCAAAAACGAGTCCTGAAAAAAAACGAGCTATTATACTGAGCAAACAAGGATTTTATCTAATCAGACAAATACTTTATTTTTGCTTCAAGTATTTGACTGCATAGAAATGGCAGCAGAAGAATTTGTTCTAATTCCAAAGCATATGTACATCAGAGATCAACCACATGCAGCACATATTTTGCTTGACAACTCAATTAAACACAAGAAACCGCAACTATCATATTTGAACCGTTTGAGACCACTAAATGAATCAGCAAGAACAACAACAACATCAGCTATTGATACGTCAGCAGTCATTCCCCCAACCCCTGAACCACCTATTGTTGCCAAAGCAGAAAACAATCCACAAAAACAAGCTCTCCCTCTCACTTCTCAAGACGATGATGATGATGACGGTGATGGTGATGATGATGATGATGATGATGAAGGTAACGAGATGGAAAAAAGTGTTGAGCTTAGTGAGGCATTATCCACAGAACGTATCCTGTTACAATTACAGCTCATGGATGAACACAAATTTAAGCGAGCAAAAAAAGTTCTTGAAGTTATTAAAAAGTCAGAACGAGTCAAAATAAATAAAGATAATGAAGAAATTTACGTTGATAAAGTGCCAACAGGTCTTAAAGCATCAGTTTTTCTGTATGATATACAACAACAAACTAAAAAACTTTACAACCCTGCTTTTATACTGATTTTGAGGTCACTCAAACTTGATGAACGGTTGGTTATGAACAAGTATGCCAAAGTCGCGGTTCAGTCAACGAATACGGAACAAGCTCAACAGAAGCAAAGAAGCAGACGTTCCACAAATTCCCCTTCAAAATCTACAGCCCTCCTCCTCCTTTCTCCCGAGAAGAAACCTTCGTCGTCATCGTCGACGACCTCAAGAAGAGCCACCTCAAAAAGCAGTAAGAGACGCAAAACCAGAAAAACTGTTGCAGACAGTGAAAGAGAACGGTCACCGCAAAAAACCAAACGAGAAGAAGAAGGTGCAGCAGAAGAGGAATACTCCGAGTCGTACGAAACGCCCGATAACGATTCAGATTCTGCAACGACAGAGAAGAAGAAGACAAAAACAAACAAAAAATGGCAAGATTACACCAGCTGAAGAAAAAGTATTGAAAACTAAATTTACAAGTAAGGGTCCAGCATTGTTTGGTAGTGTACAGAATTTAAAAGAGGAATCAAAAATTTCACGAAGTAAAGTGAAACGTTTTTTACATACAGAGCCAGCATATACAAAATATCGAACAGTTCGTCGCAAAACACCACGCCTCAAAGTGATAGTTTATGACATAGACGAAATATGGTCAATTGACC